GGTCAGGCTGGAAGTTGTGCAAACATCTTTCATGTATAATAAATATTTCACTCATGTCAAATGATGTGAAGTTTTTAAACAACATCACTGATGTCAAATGATGTGAAGTTTTTAAACAACATCACTGATGTCAAATGATGTGAAGTTTTAACAACATCACTGATGTCAAATGATGTGAAGTTTTAACAACATCACTGATGTCAAATGATGTGAAGTTTTTAAACAACATCACTTATGTCAAATGATGTGAAGTTTTTAAACAACATCACTGATGTCAAATGATGTGAAGTTTTTAAACAACATCACTGATGTCAAATGATGTGAAGTTTTTAAACAACATCACTGATGTCAAATGATGTGAAGTTTTTAAACAACATCACTGATGTCAAATGATGTGAAGTTTTTAAACAACATCACTGATGTCAAATGATGTGAAGTTTTAACAACATCACTGATGTCAAATGATGTGAAGTTTTAACAACATCACTTATGTGAAATTAATTAACAATAAAATTACTACTGTCAAATAATGAATTTATATTGACAGTACTGTGACAAATAATAAACTTCAACATCACTGCTGACTAATGATGATGCATGAATGAAACTGTTGGGAGATCTTACTGTCAATGGACACTACAACAGCATACAATCAATACAGACAATTAGTTTGATTAACCTTTACATCTCCAAGAAACTGTGCACTCTGGTGCATATGTTCATAATACAATCCTGTAAACGTCACTTTACTAACATGTGTGTAGTGACCTGTCCCTGACAAGCCTAGTTAATGGCACTGGTTCTGTTTGCCTCCTGCACAGTGTTTAGCAGGACTGCGTATGATTATATTTACTAACGGGAGGGGGGTGTGCATGGCTAGTGCTGTCGCCACAAACTAAACAGGTGAGAATTTTTCTGTGTCTCCTGGGGACCCAAGGGTTCAAAAACCAATAATGAAATGTGACTCCCTCTACGTGATCAATAATATCAGCATTATGTCAGTCAAGTTAAGGATCCTCTTCAATTGTTTATATGATGCTAAACTCAAAGTTGTCTCAACTTTCGATGGGTTGTGAACTCAACATTACACTGCAACATTAGTATTATAACAGTAAACATGAATTTTACACTAAAATCAAAGCAGGAGGCTTCTGCATTCTAAGTGTATTCTGTTGTTACATGTTTAATACAAAAAATAATACAGTCACTGCTGTAAAGCATTCAACTTATTTGATTATTATAATTGCTATTACAAAAATTACTAGTTAAAATGTGTTTAATGTGATCTGAGTCTAAAATCAAGTATTCAGAAAATGTGATCAGACAAAAAGTGTGGTGACGTAACTTCCCAACTGTCGGCTTCAGACCCTGAACAAACAGTGCACAAGAATCCAACTATGTATACTGAATACACACATACATCAACCAGTTACATAAAGAGAGTGTATTGCAACCAACTTCCAAGATCCCAGCTCACAGGTCTACGTCTTTAGGAGCCGTGATGGTAAAGCATGGAAAACGGCTAAATCTACCAGGTCTAGACAGGTTAGTGAGTCAGACAGGTTAGTGAGGTACAGTGAGTCAGACAGGTTAGTGAGGTACAGTGAGTCAGACGGGTTAGTGAGGTACAGTGAGTCAGACAGGTTAGTGAGGTACAGTGAGTCAGACAGGTTAGTGAGGTACAGTGAGTCAGACAGGTTAGTGAGGTACAGTGAGTCAGACAGGTTAGTGAGGTACAGTGACTCAGACAGGTTAGTGTGGTACAGTGAGTCAGACAGGTTAGTGAGGTACAGTGAGTCAGACAGGATAGTGGGTACAGTGAGTCAGACAGGTTAGTGAGGTACAGTGAGTCAGACGGGTTAGTGAGGTACAGTGAGTCAGACGGGTTAGTGAGGTACAGTGAGTCAGACGGGTTAGTGAGGTACAGTGAGTCAGACAGGTTAGTGAGGTACAGTGAGTCAGACAGGTTAGTGAGGTACAGTGAGTCAGACAGGTTAGTGAGGTACAGTGAGTCAGACAGGTTGTGTTCTTAGACCATGGACTCAAGACAGGATGTGGGATCTCACAGCTTAAAATGTGGACTCTCTGGGATCAGACAGGTTGTGGGATCTCACAGCTCAGAATGTGGACTCTCTGGGATCAGACAGGTTGTGGGGTCTCACAGCTTAGAATGTGGACTCTCTGGGATCCAACAGGATGTGGGATCTCACAGCTCAGAATGTGGACTCTCTGGGATCCAACAGGTTGTGGGGTCTCACAGCTCAGAATGGGGACTCTGGGATCAGACAGGATGTGGGGTCTCCAGCATTAGACAGATGCTGGTTACATCCTTATTGTCCTGTAAGTAGACTGGACCAGTTCCAGACAGGCCTAAGAATCTGATTGTCCGTGGAGCAGCAGACCACAGACCTGACAAAGCTAACACAACTCATGAGATAATGATGTACTGCCACATTAATGCACATGCAATCAATAACAAAGATTCCAAGAACCCAAACAAAAAAACATAACTACACGTCTTAGAAACAATGATTTAAAAACACAAAAAATTAACAAACAATGACAATATTTGTTCCTGATGGTGCACCTGTAAATTGGACAACAACCCGACTGGCTCAACAACAAAGACAACTGCTGTATGTGCTGCCCTCTGGTGGAGTTCACTAGACAAATTCTGTGTGTGTTGAGGGCTGAAAGTTCCAGAGGTTTGCCTTTAATTACAGCTAAGCAGCATTTGAACTGGTTTCTTAAAGTTTGGGAAGCTGGTCTCCAAACCATCGTGAACATCAACTTTTACAGTTTTTGAGAATGCAAGATTTCAATGTCACTTAACTCTCTAGAAACAAACAGAAAAACTGTTTTTGTTTCATACTACAATGATATCCAAAAGTATATTTTTACAAATTAAAGACACAATATACTGAACCTATTTGAAATCCTTTCATTACGGGCAGATCACGTAATTATGGATAGAGAACAACAAAATATAATATTGAAAAAGGCATACAAATCATACAAATGTTTGTACGTATATAATATATATGTATATTTCATAATATAGAACAATATGAACTGCCAAATTAATGTAAAAGATGGCAGTGAAGGCACCTGAGCCCGCACTTGATCGACTGCTGCATTCGTGTTCGCTCCCTCAAGCATCAGACTTGATAGCACACAAAAATGCCCCCCACGAGCTGAGATTGGCGGTAGCTGTTGTCATACAATAATTTTCCCTGTCAACCATTTCAAGTATTAATGTAAATGAGGAGTATCTGTACCGGGTGACTTTACCTACAGACCTGATTAATTCAATGTATCCCCAACTACGATGCAAACACAGAGTAACAATTTACTAAAACGACCTTTACTAAACTGCAAACCACTATTCCAACTCTGTATAAAATCTATTAAATTAGCACACACTAAAGTACTCTAAAATATGTGAAAGCCATCTCAAGGGGTGCACATCATAGTCATACTGCTTTAAATGTACTAAAAGAATTTCTCACATACTGTTTATTTAGGCAAACACAATGTAATGACGTTCTTTTTTCCCTCCCAAACCCTTTTTTATTTGAACAGCATCTGTGCCACTGATAAAGTCTTGTAGTTTTTGTATTTTGCATTCTCAGTCAGTTGGAACATGGTGTACAGGCCTGGGAATAGAGGTACAGGGCCCTACCAACCAGGATAACACGTCCCACAATGTGTGTAGCAGCTGCAGCATACTAATAGTTCTTTGTGTCAACTATCACACACCACTACAAGTTCTCTGTGACAGCTATCACACACCACTAGTTCCCTGAGAGAGCTACAGCATACTACTACTAGTTCCCTGTGACAATTACAGTACACATCTACTAGTTTCCCGTAGCAGCTACCGCATATTACAACTAGTTCTCTGTGACAGCTTCAAAACATCACTACTAGTTCCCTGTGACAGCTATCACATACTACTACTAGTTCCCTGTGACAGCTACAATACATCACTACTGGTTCCCTGTGACAGCTATCACATACTAGAACTAGTTCACTGTGACAGCTACAATACATCACTACTAGTTCCCTGTGACAGCTATCACATACTACAACTAGTTCACTGTGACAGCTACAATACATCACTACTAGTTCCCTGTGACAGCTATCACACACTACTACTAGTTCCCTGTGACAGATACGATACACTATAACTAGTTCCCTGTGACAGGTACGACACACTATAACTAGTTCCCTGTGATTACTATCACTGCTAGCTCTCTGTGACAACTAGAATACAACGGCTGGTTCCCTTTGAACAACCACCACTGCTTGTTTCTCATACTTAAGCGCCTACTAAGCGAAACATTAACAACAAGTGAATACACTCATCGGACACTGCCGTCATAACATTATTTTGTTTCACAAATCAGCAACATATGTACAACAAAGAGCTGCACCCTGCTACCCACCTACTGCAGTACAAAATAAACTCATCTGATAAATCCCTTTGTGCCATTTGACAACAATATCTACAAGAAACCTGCTGCAACACACAAACATATCATTTTAATTATGAAATAGTCTTCATTACACTCCCCATGGATGCGTGTGCCTAATTCAATTTAAAATGTGGGTTCTGAATCAAATTTTCAGCTTTCCCCAATTAACAAATAACAAAACAAACACTGGGTAGGACCAAACAGAGATGCTAAAAATAAACTTGGTAGGCACAAGAATTGTTGAGTACAGTCATCGTTAAAGAATCCACATCAACGTTCTCAGAAATACAAAAATAACAAAACCTGAAGAAGTTCACCTTGGTCCCCCCAATTTCTACAATATGATAAAACTGTCTACCGTACTAAACAAAATGAGTCCAATTAACAAATACAGCATTTTTTTTTAAATTTGCTGTCAAAAATGTATTGTCAAAATGCAAGCTGGTCGGTCAATCTTTGTGACAGTTGTATCAAGTCTGAACAGCCACTTCCATGTCCTTCATCAGAACTCTGTGCTCCAGCCTAAGCATAAAACTCCTTCTCTGGTGCCCTCACGTAGTTGTAGTTTGGTGTTTTCCGAGGCTCATCCAAGGGGTAGCTGCCCTCGTCCTTCTTGCGCATGCGATACACCACAAACATCACCAGCAACACCACACACAGCAGCAGAACCACCGATCCTCCAATGACCCCTGCACACAAAAGCACCCAATTTGGTTAATAAGCAAGACTTTGATTTGGTAAACAGCAATAAACTTTAATGACAAGAAGGTCAGTATTTGGTAAACAGCAATAAACTTTAATGACAAGAAGGTCAGTATTTTGTAACAGCAATAAACTTGACAAGAAGGTCAGTGGTAAACAGCAATGACTTGTAATGACAGCAAGAAGGTCAGTATTTGGTAAACAGCAATGACTTGTAATGACGAGAAGGTCAGTATTTGGTAAACAGCAATGACTTGTGATGACGAGAAGGTCAGTATTTGGTAAACAGCAATGACTTGTGATGAAAAGGTCAGTTTTTGGTAAACAGCAATTACTTGTAATGACGAGAAGGTCAGTATTTGGTAAACAGCAATGACTTGTAATGACGAGAAGGTCAGTATTTGGTAAACAGCAATGACTTTTAATGACGAGTCAGTATTTGGTAAACAGCAATGACTTTTAATGACGAGAAGGTCAGTATTTGGTAAACAGCAATGACTTGTAATGACGAGCAGGTCAGTATCTGGTAAACAGCAATGACTTGTAATGACGAGAAGGTCGGTATTTGGTAAACAGCAATGACTTGTAATGACAAGAAGGTCAGTATTTGGTAAACAGCAATGACTTGTAATGACGAGAAGGTCAGTATTTGGTAAACAGCAATGACTTGTAATGACGAGAAGGTCAGTATTTGGTAAACAGCAATGACTTGTAATGACAAGAAGGTCAGTATTTGGTAAACAGCAATGACTTGTAATGACAAGAAGGTCAGTATTTGGTAAACAGCAATGACTTGTAATGACGAGAAGGTCAGTATTTGGTAAACAGCAATGACTTGTAATGACAAGAAGGTCAGTATTTGGTAAACAGCAATGACTTGTAATGACAAGAAGGTCAGTATTTGGTAAACAGCAATGACTTGTAATGACGAGAAGGTCAGTATTTGGTAAACAGCAATGACTTGTAATGACAAGAAGGTCAGTATTTGGTAAACAGCAATGACTTGTAATGACGAGAAGGTCAGTATTTGGTAAACAGCAATGACTTGTGATGATGAGATGGTCAGTATTTGGTAAACAGCAATGACTTGTGATGACGAGAAGGTCAGTATTTGGTAAACAGCAATGACTTGTGATGACGAGAAGGTCAGTATTTGGTAAACAGCAATGACTTGTAACGACGAGAAGGTCAGTATTTTGTAAACAGCAATGACTTGTGATGATGAGAAGGTCGGTATTTGGTAAACAGCAATGACTTTTAATGACGAGAAGATCAGTATTTGGTAAACAGCAATGACTTGTAATGACGAGAAGGTCAGTATTTGGTAAACAGCAATGACTTGTAATGACGAGAAGGTCAGTATTTGGTAAACAGCAATGACTTTTAATGACGAGAAGATCAGTATTTGGTAAACAGCAATGACTTTTAATGACGAGAAGGTCAGTATTTGGTAAACAGCAATGACTTTTAATGACGAGAAGGTCAGTATTTGGTAAACAGCAATGACTTTTAATGAGAAAGTCAGTATCTGGTAAACAGCAATGACTTGTAATGATGAGAAGGTCAGTATTTGGTAAACAGCAATGACTTGTGATGAGAAGGTCAGTTTTTGGTAAACAGCAATGACTTGTAATGACGAGAAGGTCAGTATTTGGTAAACAGCAATGACTTGTAATGACGAGAAGGTCAGTATTTGGTAAACAGCAATGACTTTTAATGACGAGTCAGTATTTGGTAAACAGCAATGACTTTTAATGACGACAAGGTCAGTATTTGGTAAACAGCAATGACTTGTAATGACGAGAAGGTCGGTATTTGGTAAACAGCAATGACTTGTAACGACGAGAAGGTCAGTATTTTGTAAACAGCAATGACTTGTAATGACGAGAAGGTCAGTATTTGGTAAACAGCAATGACTTTTAATGACGAGAAGATCAGTATTTGGTAAACAGCAATGACTTTTAATGACGAGAAGGTCAGTATTTGGTAAACAGCAATGACTTTTAATGACGAGAAGGTCAGTATTTGGTAAACAGCAATTACTTTTAATGACGAGAAGGTCAGTATTTGGTAAACAGCAATGACTTTTAATGATGAGAAGGTCAGTTTTTAGTAAACAGCAATGACTTTTAATGACGAGAAGGTCAGTATTTGGTAAACAGCAATGACTTTTAATGACGAGAAGGTCAGTATTTGGTAAACAGCAATTACTTTTAATGACGAGAAGGTCAGTATTTGGTAAACAGCAATGACTTTTAATGACAAGAAGGTCAGTATCTGGTAAACAGCAATGACTTGTAATGATGAGAAGGTCAGTATTTGGTAAACAGCAATGACTTGTAATGACGAGAAGGTCAGTATTTGGTAAACAGCAATAAACTAATGTTGAGAACGTCAGTATTTGGTAAGTAGCAAAGAACTTCTCATGGCAGGAGTGCCAGTATTTGATAAATAGCAACAGACCCCAAAAGGCATGACAGTGACTATTGGGTAAACTTCAATGAGATGAACTAAAGGCGGAAGATCCAGTATTTGGTAAATAGCTACATCTAATTTGTTTCAATCGGAAATAACCCCTCACTCAACTCAGACGAGCCCTTTACAGATTTGTTCAGGATTGGATGAATCTCCAGTTAAAGATGTCTACATGATGAGATAATCAGTATCATGCCAACAATCCTTGGTTGCCTTTTATGACATGCATAAGTTTTATATATATATATATATAGTGGTGCTATCCTTTGCCTCCCTTCCGGACCATATAAACGCATGGGCAAATCTGATCCTCGATCTTCTTTTTAATCTTTAGCTTTCTAAGCGCTTGAGGTCCCACTGCTGGAGATATCACCCGCCTCCACTCATCTTTCTGACTAGCCTTCTCATTCCAGTTGGTGACTTCAAGTGTTGTAGGTCTGCCTGGACTTTATCTACACATGGTCATCTTTGCCTGCCTCGTGGTCCCCTTCCATTAATTTGTTATGCATTCACAGTTTATGTCTCTCTGTAATCTGCAACCACTCGGTCTAGTAGCCCTCAAGATGCCAGTAATCAGGGGCAATCTCAACAAATGATGACTGACATTTAAATTAGTTGCTTATCTTTTACAGGACGTTGAAGAACCAGCCCCAGCACTTTCTGGCTGTTGTGGTTTTTCTAGGCAAATTTACGTCCAGTAGTTTGCCACTGCTTACTGGACGGTTGGCTCTCGGTACTACAGTCTAAACCATCGCAAGACAAACTGTCTGCAGCAGGGATCGAGCTCGACACCCCGACATTGCGAAGCGCGTTCGCAACGCCTAAGCCACAGACGCCGGCGATGACTGACATACCTGCTAAAATTCCCGGCTGGGTCATGACCTCACTGGCTCTCTCCACTTTGTCTCCTTGGGGATTGTCAAGTTCAGCCTTGTGGACCTTTGTCTCTGTTGCTTTCCTTGATGTGTTGTCCTCTGTAAACTTTGTTTTTGTTTCCTCGTTTGTGCTACTGCCAACATCCGTATCAAGATCAAATGTTTCTGTTGAAATAATGAGATTAAAACCTTTCATTATTAAGAGATAACATTAAATACAAAACAATGCATTAAATAATTATAATTTAAGAGAGGGTACACAGCCCACTATAAGTTCAGGGAAACCAGGTTCCAATCCTTGTAGAGGGCTTACGAATTTGGTTTTTAATGGCTTATCTCGCATGCCTCTGATTTCTGTCACTCTTTATTGGATACCTTGCCTTCTCAGATAAGGATCACACACAAAATGATGGCCGATATATAAAATTCCTGTAATTTATCAAAGCATTTGACAATTACAATTAGAAGGCTCAATGAGAATTCATAACCAAACATTGAACTGCATTCTTTTGTGTCTAAGCTTTAATTTGTCGAGCTGTCACAGTGTTCCGCAGCCCCTCACTTCCCACAATGTTCCCCAGTCCCTCACTTCCCACAATGTTCCCCAGTCCCTCACTTTCCACAATGTTCCGCAGCCCCTCACTTCCCACAATGTTCCGCAGCCCCTCACTTCCCACAATGTTCCACAGTCCCTCACTTTCCACAACGTTCCCCAGTCCCTCACTTCCCACAATGTTCCACAGCCCCTCACTTCCCACAATGTTCCACAGCCCCTCACTTCCCACAATGTTCTGCAGCCCCTCACTTCCCACAATGTTCCACAGTCCCTCACTTTCCACAATGTTATGCAGTCCCTCACTTTCCACAATATTCCACAGCCCCTCACTTCCCACAAAGTTCCCCAGTCCCTCACTTCCCACAATGTTCTGCAGTCCCTCACTTCCCACAACGTTCCCCAGTCCCTCACTTCCCACAATGTTCCCCAGTCCCTCACTTTCTACAAAGTTCTGCAGTCCCTCACTTCCCACAACGTTCCCCAGTCCCTCACTTCCCACAACGTTCCCCAGTCCCTCACTTCCCACAATGTTCCCCAGTCCCTCACTTTCTACAAAGTTCTGCAGTCCCTCACTTCCCACAACGTTCCCCAGTCCCTCACTTCCCACAATGTTCTGCAGTCCCTCACTTCCCACAATGTTCCCCAGTTCCTCACTTCCCACAATGTTCCCCAGTCCCTCACTTTCTACAAAGTTCTGCAGTCCCTCACTTCCCACAACGTTCCCCAGTCCCTCACTTCCCACAACGTTCCCCAGTCCCTCACTTCCCACAATGTTCCCCAGTCCCTCACTTCCCACAATGTTCCCCAGTCCCTCACTTTCTACAAAGTTCTGCAGTCCCTCACTTCCCACAACGTTCCCCAGTCCCTCACTTCCCACAACGTTCCCCAGTCCCTCACTTCCCACAATGTTCCCCAGTCCCTCACTTCCCACAATGTTCCCCAGTCCCTCACTTCCCACAATATACCCAGAATGTAGCATCTGTTATCCTGACTGTTCTTCTTCTAGTGTTCACTAGCTGTAAACTCTGGAAGAAAGTTCTGATTGTTCGTCCACTTTTCACAATGTTCTGCAGTCCCTCACTTCCCACAATGTTCCCCAGCGTTTTGTGCATATCAGTTTTACAGACTTGGCTTAACTGTGATGACTCCTTCTGACTTCCCAGGCAAAATTCTGACTTAGGAGAAAACTATTGGTTCTATTTATATTGGTCAAGCCCCTATAAGGGGACCTGTTTCTAGGATGAGTACGGAGAGTTGTAGAGAGGGCTAGTCCGGTACCAGTCCTGATCCTGCTGCACTATCTACCGCCTGTGGTTCAGCCCCCCCCCCCCCCCCCGCCCCGCCCCGCCCCGCCCCGCACTCAAGAACTAATAATGTTTTCTGAACTGATTTAAAGTGGCATTTCTACGCAAGAATGAAATGTGGCAAATCATCTCTGTCAGAGGAAGATATTTAGGAATCCTGACTTTAGAATCCAGATACATATATTTTGTTTATTAGAAATTAGTTGTGTATCCTTTACAAGAACCTGTCCCAGCATTTTTGTTGTTGTTTGTGACTTCACTAGACAACTTTACCTTGAGTAGTTTGTGACTTCACTAGACAACTTGACCTTGAGTAGTTTGTGACTTCACTAGACAACTTGACCTTGAGTAGTTTGTGACTTCACTAGACAACTTGACCTTGAGTAGTTTGTGACTTCACTAGACAACTTGACCTTGAGTAGTTTGTGACTTCACTAGACAACTTGACCTTGTGTAGTTTGTGACTTCACTAGACAACTTTAGCTTGAGTAGTTTGAGACTGCTTCTGGTTCTCAATACCAAAACCAAGAAACAAGCGGTCTACTGCCAAGTGACCTGCATCTTGGATTGAACCCAGCAACCCCAGAAATATAAAGTGTGCCTCACAGCCACAGAGGCGAATATTCAGCGAATACACACTAGAACAACTCATACAGATTCTCTGCCGATATGACAACCGAGAAATGATTCCATCAAACGTTTTTTTTTAATTCAAACTGACATGCAGAGAGTAAATAGCACAGATTGTACTGACCGACGGGCACACAGAGAGTAAACAGCACAGATTGTACTGACCGACTGACACATAGAGAGTAAATAGCACAGATTGTACTGACTGACTGACATAGAGAGAGAGTAAATAGCACAGATTGTACTGACCGATTGACACACAGAGAGTAAATAGCACAGATTGTACTGACTGACTGACATACAGAGAGTAAATAGAATATCTTGTACTGACTGACATACAGAGAGTAAATAGCACAGATTGTACTGACTGACTGACATACAGAGAGTAAATAGAATATCTTGTACTGACTGACATACAGAGAGTAAACAGCACAGATTGTACTGACCAACTGACATAAAGAGAGTAAATAGCATGATTGTACTGACTGACTGACATACAGAGAGTTAATAGCACAGATTGTACTGACTGACTGACAGAGAGAGAGAGTTAATAGCACAGATTGTACTGACTGATTGATATAGAGTAAATAGCACAGATTGTACTGACTGACTGACATACAGAGAGTAAATAGCACAGATTGTACTGACTGACTGACATAGAGAGAGAGTTAATAGCACAGATTGTACTGACTGACTGACATAGAGAGAGAGAGTTAATAGCACAGATTGTACTGACTGATTTACATAGAGAGTAAATAGCACAGATTGTAATGACCGACTGACACACAGAGAGTATATAGCACAGATTGTACTGACTGAGTGACATATAGAGAGTAAATAGATCAGATTGTACTGACCGATTGACACATAGAGAGTAAATAGCACAGATTGTACTGACTAACATACAGAGAGTAAATAGCACAGATTATACTGACTGACTGACATAGAGAGAGTAAATAGCACATTTTGTACTGATTGACTGACATAGAGAGAGTAAATAGCACAGATTGTACTGACTGACTGACATAGAGGGTAAATAGCACAGATTGTACTGACTGACTGACATAGAGAGAGTAAATAGCACAGATTGTACTGACTGACTGACATAGAGATAGTACATAGCACAGATTGTACTGACTGACTGACATACAGAGAGTAAATAGCACAGATTGTACTGACTGACTGACATACAGAGAGTAAATAGCACAGATTGTACTGACCGACTGACATAGAGAGAGTAAATAGCACAGACTTTACTGACTGACTGACAGAGAGAGTAAATAGCACAGATTGTACTGACTGACTGACATAGAGAGAGTAAATAGCACAGATTGTACTGACTGACTGACATAGAGATAGTACATAGCACAGATTGTACTGACTGACTGACATACAGAGAGTAAATAGCACAGATTGTACTGACCGACTGACATACAGAGAGTAAATAGCACAGATTGTACCGACTGACTGACACACAGAGAGTAAATAGCACAGATTGTACTGACTGACTGACATACAGAGAGTAAATAGCACAGATTGTACTGACCGACTGACACAGAGAGTAAACGGCACAGATTGTACTGACCGACTGACACAGACAGTAAATAGCACAGATTGTACTGACCGATTGACACATAGAGAGTAAATAGCACAGATTGTACTGACTAACATACAGAGAGTAAATAGCACAGATTGTACTGACTGACTGACATACAGAGAGTAAATAGAAAATCTTGTACTGACTGACAGACATACAGAGAGTAAATAGCACAGATTGTACTGACTAATTGACATACAGAGAGTAAATAGCACAGATTGTATTGACCGCCTGACATAAAGAGAGTAAATAGCACAGATTGTACTGACCGACTGACATACAGAGAGTAAATAGCACAGATTGTACTGACCGACTGACATACAGAGAGTAAATAGCAAAGATTGTACTGATTGACATACAGAGAGTAAATAGCACAGATTATACTGACTGACATACAGAGAGTAAATTGCACAGATTGTACTGACCGACTGACATACAGAGAGTTAATAGCACAGATTGTACTGACTGACATAGAGAGAGTAAATAGCACAGATTGTACTGACCGACTGACATACAGAGAATAAATAGCACAGATTGTACTGACTGACTGAGATAGAGAGAGTAAATAGCACAGACTGTACTGACCGACTGACATACAGAGAGTAAATAGCACAGACTGTACTGACTGACTGACAGAGAGAGTAAATTGCACAGACTTTACTGACCGACTGACATACAGAGAGTAAATAGAAAAGATTGTACTGACTGACTGGCACACTTATCCACATAATCTACATCGACTTACATGCTAAAGAAGCAATAAAACCCTAGCTGAATGCAATAAAACCCTAGCTGAATGCAATAAAACCCTAGCTGAATGGCAAAGTAAACAAAGTGCCATTATTTCAGGCAAGTGCTGAACAAGCAACTACTGGAAACATAAACAGAAGACAACAATTCTTGTCAGGCATTATTTATTTGTGGATCTCTGAAGAGCTCCCTCTCATAGGCATGTTTTTATTGCCATTATCATAACTGACGGACATAATACACTAACATTATGAGAGAGTTACTGTTTTGTCTGTTGATTTGTTGTTGGCTTGTTTGGTGGGACAATGTTACTATTTTCAGATACCAATCTATCAAATGCTGTAATTAGTGAGTTTTTCTTTCTGTTCACTGTTATTTTAAGTGTCAAGAAAGGAAGGGACTACTGGCTGAATTTCTATTGTGCTTAAAATGTTGTGATTTCTGCAACTGAAGGATAAAGTGATTTTTGCCACTGCAGGATTAGATGGTTTGTGTCATTGTTGGATAATGTGATTTTGCTAGTGTAGGACCATGTGATTTTGCTACTGTAGGATCATGTGATTTTGCTACTGTAGGATCGTGTGATTTTGCTATGACAGGATCATATGATGTGTGCCATTGTGAGGTTAGATGTCCTGTGTGACTCTGTGATGGCTGGGATTCAGGAGGAAGGACCAGTGACATGTCACACATTTCCTGGGATTGAAAGTTTCTCACCTTCTGGTTGAGTCATCTTTGGCTCATCAACTGTCTCATCAATATTGATGTCTCCCTGAAAGAAAACAATCAGAGCTACATTATTCTATGCAAATCTAGATGAGTATGGCTATAGGAAATCACCAAATAAAAATCTCAAGGATAAGTTCGTTTGATGAATTGAGAATTGACATCACAGCACTCCAGACCTTCAGTCCCCATCTTCAGCAGCAAGTGAAGAGCTCCAGTTCCAACGACACCAGTAGCTGTCTGACTATATCCATCTCACCCTTCCTTTGAGTGCTGAGCATCAGTCAGATCCCCTGGCCACTCCTCACAGCACCGTTCTCCACAGACCGTGATGATCTATTTGTGCCTCCGCACCCCACTGCTCACTCTCTATTTGTGCCTCCACACCCCACTGCTCACTCTCTATTTGTGCCTTCGCACCCCACTGCTCACTCTCTATTTGTGCCTCCGCACCCCACTGCTCACTCTCCTCCAAAAGACCCTTCCAATGTCTAGCTGGCATGCATCAATTTTCCACAAGTGGTGCAGAACCAGCCAGTATATCTATCTGCCTGTTCATTTCCAAACACACCACCACAACCTGGAATAAATATCTGATGGACGTTACTAACCCAGGACTATAAAGCAATGCTAGCCAGTCTGTCTGGAAAAACAGCAAAAACTACCGTCTGATAAACATGGCACACAAGAAATTTCCCGGCAAAAACTACTGTCTGATAAACATGGCATACAAGAAATGTCCCAGCAAAAACTACCGTCTGATAAACATGGCACACAAGAAATGTCCCGGCAAAAACTACTGTCTGATAAACATGGCACACAAGAAATGTCCCGGCAAAAACTACTGTCTGATAAACATGGCACACAAGAAATGTCCCGGCAAAAACTCTCATCTGATGCCACTAGGGCAGCAGGTATATGGTGCTAGACTTACATTTCTTGCAACTGATCACCTCTTGATGAGTCGTGTAGCCAGCAACACACCAGCTGGCCACCTTCACTTTCCAGGTCATCATGTGCTGCTCATTTAGACTGTCTCTACCTGGCAAGTCAGGCCTGTGGCTTGCATGTTGCAAGCACAAGTCGTAATTCCGAGCTGCCAGGTTTAATCCCAACTTCTGGTGTTTTGGCAGCAGACCGCCTTGCATTGGTTTTGACAGGAGTAAGACAGCTGACATTCAGATGGTGACAGCAAGCTAATGAGTGTAAACAAATGGCCCAATCAACAATGCTGAAGTTGATTCTGCAACGTCCTAAAAAGGATACCCAACTAACTTAACTACATCGCAACCAAGGTAAATTCTGAAGACTATTTTCCTCGAAGGGGATGCAGATTCAAGACCTTCCAGCTAGCAGGTGAGCATCTGGCCACTTCACTACCGCAGCTCCCAGAGACGAAAAGTACTCATGATTGTTACTCCACAGCAGCATCTGCTGCAGTGTTCTATAACTGAAAGAGGTGATTCTTCAAGAGTTAGTTCTTCGCTCAGATGATTGAGCTAGGACTGAAAGAGGTGATTCTTCAAGAGTTAGTTCTCCCATCAGATGACATCATCATCAACAGCATGTGCCTTGTCAACTGGGGTGGGTGATCAAGCCTCTCCGCAATCGCGTCACCAACAAATTTAGATTACAACAAGTGAATTATGGCTTTCTTTCATGTAATTTCCTGTATAGATCTAAACTTCTTTGACTGATGTTGCAATCACCCTAACTTCTTTGACTGATGTTGCAATCACCCTAACTTCTTTGACTGATGTTGCAATCACCCTAACTTCTTTGACTGATGTTGCAATCACCCTAACTTCTTTACTGATGTTGCAATCACCCTAACTTCTTTGACTGATGTTGCAATCACCCTAACTTCTTTACTGATGTTGCAATCACCCTAACTTCTTTACTGATGTTGAAATCACCCTAACTTCTTTGACTGATGTTGCAAACCATAACTTCTTTGACTGATGTTGCAATCACCCTAACTTCTTTACTGATGTTGCAATCACCCTAACTTCTTTGACTGAGGTTGCAAACCCTAACCTTTTTGACTGATGTTGCAATCACCCTAACTTCTTTACTGATGTTGCAATCACCCTAACTTCTTTACTGATGTTGCAATCACCATAACTTCTTCTTCTTTGACTGATGTTGCAAACCCTAACTTCTTTGACTGATGTTGCAATCACCCTAACTTCTTTGACTGATGTTGCAATCACCCTAACTTCTTTACTGATGTTGCAATCACCTTAACTTCTTCTTCTTTGACTGATGTTGCAAACCCTAACTTCTTTGACTGATGTTGCAATCACCCTAACTTCTTTGACAGATGTTGCAATCACCCTAACTTCTTTACTGATGTTGCAATCACCCTAACTTCTTTGACAGATGTTGCAATCACCCTAACTTCTTTACTGATGTTGCAATCACCCTAACTTCTTTACTGATGTTGCAATCACCCTAACTTCTTTGACTGATGTTGCAAACCCTAACTTCTTTGACTGATGTTGCAATCACCCTAACTTCTTTCTGCATGAAAACTAATACAGACTGATTAAAGATAATGCATAACAAGAAAATACTTACCTCATTGCTGTCTTTCACATCTACCTCAGGTGTACTTGAGGTTGAGATCTCAGGGATGTTCACATCAATTGAGTCATCATCTGCAGGCATACAAGGTGGTTATTTACACAGCTGTAAATCATCAAGAACAATGGCAAGACCACTGAAGATTAGACCTGGAGTATTATATAGAGAGGAAACCAACACAAACAGAAGAGAACTGGAGGAAGAAATCAATTACTGGAGAGAAATACTGGAGGAAGAGATCAATTACTGGAGAGAAATACTGGATGAAGAGATCAATTACTGGAGAGAAATAAGGAGGAAGATATCAATTACTGGAGAGAAATACTGGAGGAAGAGATCAATTACTGGAGAGAAATACTGGAGGAAGAGATCAATTACTGGAGAGAAATACTGGAGGAAGAGATCAATTACTGGAGAGAAATATGGCAGCTTAGGAATAGGAAAGACCTGGATACCATGGGATGTGGTCAGCCTTTGTTCCATTGGAGACAAGAGGTAGCACCAGGAGAATGACTGGATAAAGTCCATGGTAGGGGGCATAGATCCATGGTGTGAGCAAAGATCCATGGTGTGAGCAAAGATCCATGGTGTGGACACAGATGCATGGTGTGGGCAAAGATCTTTGCTGTTGGCAAAGATCCATGATATGGACAAAAATCCATGCATGATGTGGACAAAGATCCATGGTGTGAACAAAGATCTATGGTGTGGACAAAGATCCATGATGTGGACAAAGATCTATGGTGTGGACACAGATCCATGGTATGGGCAAAGATCCATGGTATGGGCAAAGATCTATGGTGTGGACAAAGATTCATGATGTGGACAAAGATCTATGGTGTGGACACAGATCCATGATGTGGACAAAGATCTATGGTGTGGACACAGATGCATGGTGTGGGCAAAGATCTACGGTATGGGCAAAGATCCATGCTGTCTGCAAAGATCCATGCTGTCGGCAAAGATCTATGGTTTGGACAAAGAATCATAGTCATCAATGACAGACACAGACCATAGCACGGACAACATTGTAACTCTACAGCTCTCATGTTGACATCCACTGTCAAAGACATCTTCTACTTGTTTACACATCTGAGTATGCAAATTTGTTGTGCCCATTTACAGCATGACTGTAATATCTGCAACTTTTGGTCGACACATCTGACTTCTGCAGGCATTTGTTGCCCAGGTTTATCTTCCCAGACTGACAAACACCAAATATTTGATTTGTAGAACATTGCTTGACTTGGGCAATTTAGCTTTTCAGCATCTCAATGTATCTTCCATCTGGTGCTATCAATGAGTCCTGGTGCTGCATATCTAACAAAGGAAACATTATTGATCTGACAGAGGTTTTGAGCCCGTGTGACCTTAAATGTAACAGTGAAGTAACAGGACCCTTTTCCACACCTTCAGGGATAGAGAGATAGACCTATTTTATAGACCAATCAGTACTGGGTTAGGGATGTGCTCAACACCCTGCTGACCACCTTTACTTCCCAGGACTATACCTAGTACACACGCAAGCTAAATGTAATAGGTATCTAATTTACCTGACCATCCATTTATCACATGGTTATTTGTAAACAATTTAATACTGTCCACGGAGAAGTCAAAGGGAAACCACCACATTAAATTTCCAAACATAGACAGAGAACTATATTTCTGGAAGAGTGAAGTCCTCAGATTGGACATCCTGACACGACAAGTATGTTAAACAAGTTTTTTTTTTTTTTTAGTGTACATGTTATGATCTGCTTTGTGCGTTTTATTTCATTAAGTTTCTCATCTACAGCAGAGATTCTTGACAGTACATAAGACAGACATGGATTACCAATGTCACAATGAATAGACTAAAAGAACATTTTCTCATCAAATAATCAAATTACTGACCACAATTTGGTGTATCTGGAATGTGGACTTCAGTACCGGACACTCTGCTTCCTGTGCTTTCATCCACACAGAAGCATATGGAGCCGTGGCACTGGACACGGTCAAACTGACCATCAGCTGCACACCGGGGCCTGAAGTTGCCCAGCAGCTTGCTGCGGACATGCTGCACCAGTTGGTGGGTGCAAGGAGGCAGGTTGCTTCCTGTCAGAACACAATCAATCAGTTTGATTAATAACAAACTAAAATACTGTAAAATACTGATTACTAACACATGTCTACATTGTACTATTTACAATAGGTCAGTGAGTTCATGAAACAAGACATCCCTTTGGACCAGATGTCCATGGTGCAGGCCATCGATTTCCAAACATGTTTACCAACAAGCCCCCTTTCTAATCATACAATTCTGCAGCAGCAGCCGCCACCACCGCCACCACCCCCTCCCCCCTTTTTTTCCCAATCATAGATGTGTGACTGTTTTACAGCTTCATTCCCGCTCAAAACTTACACTGTGTGTGGTAATTTGGAAAACTAAGTAATAACTAACAGTTTCAATCTGTTACACAAATTAACAGTTTCAATCTCTTACACAGATTAACAGTTTCAATCTGTTACACAACAGATGGAACAGGTTCCAAATTTAAACACCAACACAAACAAATCTGATAACTCTACCAATAAATGTGACAAACACACCAACAAATGTGACAAACTCACCAACAAACATGACAAACACACCAACAAATGTGACAAACACACCAACAAATGTGACAAACTCACCAACAAACATGACAAACACACCAACAAATGTGACAAACTCACCAACAAATGTGACAAACTCACCAACAAATGTGACAAACTCACCAACAAATGTGACAAACTCACCAACAAATGTGAGAAACTCACCAACAAATACATACATGACCCTAGCAACTACTCCACTTACCAGTATCACAATTGGGAACATTGGGAGCCTCCATGGCAGTCCCTGGGATCTCGGCACCCTCCAGGTCACTGCACCAACAGTCCCCAGCCAAGGGATGGTTCCGACACTGTAAGGAACTGAACTCACCATTGGGCAGGCATCGGGGTACATACTTGCCTGACAGCTGCCGGCTGGCCTGCCTCTGTTTCTCGCAGGGTGTCAGTGGCCGGCTTGTAGTTGTGGTGGTAGTAGTGGTGGTGGTCATCATAGTGGTGGTTGTAGGTGTGAGAGTTGTTTTGTTCAAAGAGCCTTTATAATGAAACAATGATTAAATGTATCAGGGGCTATGATGTCACAGTGCTATGGTCCAAATGAAGTCTGGCCTGGGTTCAACCCTTAACTAGTTAGTTGCATACTTTTACAGCAGGGCTATCAACCAAGCAAGTGCCTGTGGGACATTGCCAGCTGTATTGTATTAATGATCTTTCTATTACTGGGCTCGAGCCTCTGGCCCCGACGAGCCCTATTTTAACCATCTTTGAGCCCCTGAGTAAACTGCTTTACAGGATGTAGCAGAACCAACCCTTGCATTGTTTGTTCTGGCTGTTTGTGACATCACAGGGCTTTTTATGTTCAGTAGTTAGTCAAGTGCTTGCTGAACCAACGGCTCTAAGTACCACTATTAAAACCATTGCAAGGTGGTCTGCTGCCAAACTGTCCACAGCTGAAATTGAACCCTGTATCAAAGAACTGTAAAGTGTGTTTACAATGCCTAAGCCACAGACATAAACTACCCTGAAAAAAAGAATGCATTTTTATCCATTCACACATAGATCTCAACACAGATCATCCACACATAGATCTTAACATAGATCATCCACACATAGATCTTAACATAGGTCATCCACACATAGATCTTAACCTGATCTCCCATTTTGGAATGAAAGATAAAGAAGAAAATAGCTGATCTCCCACCTCAAATTGCTGTGTGAATACATTACCCTGGGCACCTGGGGCAGTGTATTCTCCTTTGTATTTTCATTCTCCAGTTACCTCATCCAAGGCAAGGGGAGATATCAAGATCATATGAAAACTCTTTTTAATGAACTGCATATGCTGTCTTTATTTAGCTAAGATTCTTCTCAATGATGTTATGAAATCTTCTGTGTGGTCTTCCCCTCTACTCTGTATCTGTTATATTTTCTTGGCCATGGCTCTGTGTGAGTTGGTACCAGGGCATTCTCAACACCATTTCTTGGCACCAATATGTTGAATTGGTAGTACTGTGCAAAGTTGAAACATGGAGAATGAAAATCATTACTAAATAAAACTACAAGAAGGTATTAACTGGTGCCTGCACAAAACAGACCTGAGTTCAAGGATATGACAGTCTTTAATGTTTGAGACAGTGAAAACCAAACAAATCCCAGTCAACAGGATGAGGAGAAGAATATGAATTAGGAGAAGGAAGAAAAATATGAAGAGTTTATTTTAAAAAGTAATGTTGGGAGAAATATCAGTGAATGAAGTGTAGAAAGAAGCAGAAGAATGTGAAGAGTTTGTTACAAGAGGAATGATGGAAGAAGTGGCAGCAGATAAGAGGTAGAAGACAGACTTAGCAGTGGATAAGAATGAGGAGGAGACGTATAGGTTAGTAGTGGAGGAGAAAGAAGACAGACTGACCACTAAAAGCATTGAAACAAAGTCACAAACCTTCAGGCAGCAGTTCTCCCATGCCACTACCAGAACCAGAGCCAGACTCAATGAGATCCTCATCGTCAGAATCCTGAAGGATCCAACCTCCACTGCCTGCTGCCGGCTCCACGGGCTCTTTGTCCTGGACACCAGATAAACATACAGTAGGACTACAAGACAGACACTTAGGGGCGTGTATAAGCTTGACCACACTGGGAAACAAGCTCAATATATAATAACGATGTTAAAAAAATGTTATACAGATAAAAGAATGATGAAATTCAAAAGATAAAAGATAAAACAGCTTTATAACGGTGTAATGTGACAAAGGATAAAGAATAATTAAAGGGCAAACATAAAACAAATTGTTCAGGTCTGGCATATAGATCAAAGGAGAAATTAGGGAAGCTGTGATGGCAGAACTAGAGACAGGACCATAGAGAGGGGGAGGGGAAGGCTCCGAGGGAAAGAGAAAAACAGGGTAATGGTGGGAGATATGTAGGGAGGTAGGCGATGCAGAAAGAATTACTAGGAGTTTGAGTCAGTGGAGAGCTGGAAGTAGGGAGAGAAAGAAAGGAGAGTAGATTGGTTGGGGGGGGGGGGGGGGGGGGGGTGTGTAGAGGGATGCAGGGACAGTGAGGGAGGAGGATAGGGGGGAGCAAGCAGTAGACAACAACAAACAGTTCAAGTCTCACAGAGACAGATCAAAACATTACAAAGACAACCAGCTCGCTTGCACCATAATCTCCCTCCAGACATGCATGTTGCAACGTATCCATTACATGAGCCGGTAATTTCTAATCAAAAAACATTTGTATTCCACGGGTCTGCAATAGCCTAATGGCCGAACTGTGGAGGATGTGATGGCGGCTGGGATAGATACTACAAGGGTGGTCATGAGTAACAACATACAGCCACTAGGATTTGTCATGCGGCAGTCTATGTGCTATGATAAGGGCGGCAGTCTATGTGCTATGATAAGGGCGGCAGTCTATGTGCTATGATAAGGGTGGCAGTCTATGTGCTATGATAAGAGTAGCAGACTATGTGCTATGATAAGGGCACCAGTCTATGTGCTATGATAAGGGCACCAGTCTATGTGCTATGATAAGGGCACCAGTCTATGTGCTATGATAAGGGCGGCAGTCTATGTGCTATGATAAGGGCACCAGTCTATTTGCTATGATAAGAGCGGCAAAAGAAAACAATAGCCACTGGGGCTGCTAAAAACACATGTCACAGGACGCGACATGACTGGATCAGATGAAGTACGATTAGTTGCAGGAGAGAGAGGAAGTAGCAGATGGGGAAGGGGGTGGGGGGAAGAGACAAAACAGACACACAGAAACAGTCATACAGACAGAGACAACACAAACATAGAGAGGATACGGAGGAGGAAGAAGAAGGCTGGGACAGATAGTGGAGGATGGAGAGAGAGAGAGAGAGAGAGAGAGAGAGAGAGAGAGAGAGAGAGAGAGAGAGAGAGAGAGAGAGAGAGAGAGAGAGAGAGAGAGAGAGAGAGAGAGAGAGAGAGAGAGAGAGAGAGAGAGAGAGAGAGAGAGAGAGAGAGAGAGAGAGAGAGAGAGAGAGAGAGAGAGAGAGAGGGTGGGGGTAAAGGCTGGTGAAGCGTGGATGCTGCGTTAGAGGATGTGGGGAGATGGGGCGAGGGAGAAAGAGATGGAGGCGGGAGAAAGAGATGGAGGCGGTGAAAAGAGATGCAGGCGGAAAAAAGAGATGCAGGCGGGAAAAATGCAGGCGGGAGAAAGAGGAGTGCAGAGAGGTGCTTGCAGGATAGGGTTTTGTGAAAGAGCGATGAAGGCTGGAGTGTTGAGGGACAGGTAGGTAGACAGGTCGCAGAGTTAGGAGGAGGGAGGAGAGGCTGGGTTACAGGGGGAATAGAGAGGGGAAAAGAGCCAGGAAAGCTGGAAGAAAAGAGAGAAAGACAGAATGTCGAAGACAGAAGTTTGAGAATGGGAAAGGAGGGATTGGAGGGGGAAAGACAAAAAAGGAGTTACTAATGCCTAATGTCTCTTTACGTCTTATCCCACTAGTCTTTCCAGTTACTGGAATTTCACAATGTTTCTGCTCCTCTCGTCCCTTACGTAACTCCATCAATACGTCCTGCATGAACACATAATACTACCGATAATGTACTAAGACTATAACTGACCAGATTATAAACGTGGACATATATCTACTTACGAACGTGATGTCACTGTTTTTTCTGTGACTCTGAAAGCAAACAGAAATTGTCAACATGAGTTAACGTTTATACAATATAATATGCTTAGCATTTTTCTGTCTTTCTTGACAAAACTGTTCTACAGCGCTGGACGGAGGCAGGAAAATCACATCCCAAGGTGACACGAATAAGGGCCAGAGATGAAGCTTCTCCTCTCCACGGCACAAAGCTTGGGCATAAAAACCATGCGTTGTCTGTATAATAGGATCTGTCTACATTGTTAACTCCAAAGGAAAGGTAACATATATTCATTAGAAGAGCAGTCTGTCCACATGCTGGAGCTTCCTCCTAGACCAGCTGCCAATCAAGGCTCGTCTGTCCACTTGCTGGAGCTTCCTCCTAGACCAGCTGCCAATCAAGACTCGTCTGTCCACATGCTGGAGCTTCCTCCTAGACCAGCTGCCAATCAAGGCTCGTCTGTCCACATGCTGGATCTTCCTCCTAGACCAGCTGCCAATCAAGGCTCGTCTGTCCACATGCTGGAGCTTCCTCCTAGACCAGCTGCCAATCAAGGCTTGTCTGTCCACATGCTGGATCTTTCTCCTAGACCAGCTGTCAATCAAGGCCCGTCTGTCCACATGCTGGATCTTCCTCCTAGACCAGATGCCAATCAAGGCTCGTCTGTCCACATGCTGGAGCTTCCTCCTAGACCAGCTGCCAATCAAGGCCCGTCTGTCCACATGCTGGAGCTTCCTCCTAGACCAGCTGCCAATCAAGGCCCGTCTGTCCACATGCTGGAGCTTCCTCCTAGACCAGCTGCCAATCAAGGCCCGTCTGTCCACATGCTGGATCTTCCTCCTAGACCAGCTGCCAATCAAGGCTCGTCTGTCCACATGCTGGAGCTTCCTCCTAGACCAGCTGCCAATCAAGGCTTGTCTGTCCACATGCTGGAGCTTCCTCCTAGACCAGCTGTCAATCAAGGTCCGTCTGTCCACATGCTGGAGCTTCCTCCTAGACCAGCTGCCAATCAAGGCCCGTCTGTCCACATGCTGGAGCTTCCTCCTAGACCAGCTGCCAATCAAGGCTAATCTGTCCACATGCTGGAGCTTCCTCCTAGACCAGCTGCCAATTAAGGCTAATCTGTCATTTACCGGGGAACACAGTAACATATACACAACAGTGTAGTAAGCACACGGCAAGTATACCCTATCTGTTTGTGTATAAGACGCCCCCTTTCGTATAGGCTGGCCCATATTTTTAAGCTCAAATTTAAGAAGTAAATATTGTAAACGGATACCGTATATAAAACGATCCCGTATTTTAAACTGTAAAAAATTTAGAAAACAACGTTTCACAAACGGCATAGTTTGGTAATTGTGTTGAGTGAAGCTGTGGCAATGATATCAGAGTTAGTAATTGTGTTGAGTGAAGCTGTTGCAATGATATCAGAGGCCCTGGCACTGCGTTTCTATAGTCCCTTGGAGACAGCGACCATGGAGGGTATGGCTCCTAGAGGAGGCAGAGATCGACCAGAACGATAGTGGGCAAGGATATCAGAGACACCCTAAGCCAAGCAATAACGTTTACCAGGTGGGGAAGACGGCGGGGTCTGCTTGGCTTTCTAGTGTGCCATGATGAAAGTGGCTTTCTAGTGTGCCATGATGAAAGTGGCTTTCTAGTGTGCCATGATGCAAGTGGCTTTCTAGTGTGCCATGATGAAAGTGGCTTTCTAGTGTGCCATGATGAAAGTGGCTTTCTAGTATGCCATGATGAAAGTGGCATTCTAATGTGCCATGATGAAAGTGGCGTTCTAGTGTGCCATGATGAAAGTGGCTTTCTAGTGTGCCATGATGAAAGTGGCTTTCTAGTATGCCATGATGAAAGTGGCGTTCTAATGTGCCATGATGAAAGTGGCGTTCAAGTATGCCATGATGAAAGTGGCGTTCAAGTATGCCATGATGAAAGTGGCGTTCAAGTATGCCATGATGAAAGTGGCGTTCTAGTATGCCATGATGAAAGTGGCGTTCTAGTATGCCATGATGAAAGTGGCTTTCTAGTGTGTCATGATGAAAGTGGCGTTCTAGTATGCCATGATGAAAGTGGCGTTCTGTAAAGGACCTGTTATGTGATGATGACAAGATAATTTATGAGGATGATGATGATACAGATATTTCCATTTCGACAGACATGCCAACCTTCAAATCCTTTTACTGTTCCTAAAAGGCTCATGTGGTAGCACACTATATCTAATAAACGTTAAATGCATGTGATAAACAAATGCCTGAGAAAAATGCTGAACACTGGAATAGGATGAATTTAAGAGGGGTAGAGAAACAAGAGAAATGTCTGGCAACCACAAGTAACACTTATGAGACAAAGAAGAAGGCGCCACATTAGACACGTAGGAAGAAACGAGCAGAGACTCAACAAACAGAGGCTAACATGAGGAATAAAGGCATCGAGGAAGCAAGGATGTCGAAGGGATTGCAAGGGTAGAATGGAATGGAGGAATGGACGTGGATTCTTATGTGACAGATAATGGTGATAACGATACTTATATCTCTCTGATCCATAACCTTGGAATGTCCAAGTCTACATGGAGCAACGTTTTAGCTCTCTCTAAGTTCGATCCATAACCTTGGAATGTCCAAGTCTACATGGAGCAACGTTGTAGCTCTCTCTAAGTTCGATCCATAACCTTGGAATGTCCAAGTCTACATGGAGCAACATTGTAGCTCTCTCTAAGTTTGATCCATAACCTTGGAATGTCCAAGTCTACATGGAGCAACGTTGTAGCTCTCTCTGTTCGATCTATAATCAAATACTACGTCTGAAGAAAGTATACTGTATACACAAGATGTAACACAGAGTAACCGTCTGAGAATCAAATGAGGTGGCTGGATGCAGGGGTGTGGCGTGGCAGATAACTGCGTGGAGTTTATAGGTGTTAGAGTGCCTCCGACAAAGCAGTGTGGTAGTGGACAGTGTGGGTTTTATACAAAAAGAAATGACAAAGGCCAAGAGAAAACAGCTTAGCAATCGCCGTCATAAGTAATGTGGTACAGGCAGACATAATTTGGGATCAATTGTCTACAGTGCCTGTAAGAATGTTGCAGGGGATTGGGAACCCTGGTCTAAACGTTGAGGTCCACAGAAACAGTTTGGGAATGACTGGACTAACACTGTGACCCAGAGAAACACAGTTTGAGAGTCAATGGTCTAAATACTGTAGCCCAAGGAAACAAAAGCCTGGGAATCACTGTAGACCAAGGGGTTTGGGATGATCAGTGCAAGGTCCGACAATTAAGTAATGAGAGTGATCTTCTTATGGCCAAAACAAAAATATCATCTATGAAGCATAGCATGGAATCTAAAGAAGCAACATTCATCTATGATCTGGCAACTTTTCACTGCCTCTCGATAAGCAGACAACAAACAAGCCGCCATTTTGTTGACCTAGTCATGTGTGCATTGTTACGTAATCAGGACATAACAAAAAGCTGATATTAAACTCTTTTTAAAACTCAGAAAAAGCGCCATTGAACCAGTTGAATTCATGCAAAAAGTTTATGGGAATAATTTTCATCTCTGGTGCACACATTCTCAGGTGGTATTCCCGATTCAAAAGGGTGTGGAAATGATTACTAATGCACCTAGACCTGGACGCCAAACTTCTGTTCGTAATGATAAACTCATTGCAAAGGTCAGAGAACGGATACAAGAAGATCATTGTTTTACTGTGAGGATGATGGCAGATGAATCAAGTGTTAATAGAGAGACCATTCATAACATTTTAGTGCAAGAAAAGAGTTGCTTGCCGGTTTGTACCCCGTTGTCTGATGACCACAAACATCAGCAGGTTGAGTACCCAAGAGACATCATCAAAACAAGAATTGTTGGCCCAAAAACAAGTGTGTGTTCTCAGCCTTCCACTCTATTTCCCAGATTTGACTCCCTGTGACTATTTTCTATTCCCAAAATTAAAGTTACCATCGAAAGGTCGCTTCTTTAACGATATTAATGATATTCAAAGGGTCGTAACATCGACTTTAAGGGTCATAACAACAGAAGAATTAAAGAGGTCGTTGCAGTGTTTGTTAGATCGTGCCACTTGCTGTATCAGTGTACGAGGGGCTTACTTTGAATAAAATACAGGTTATATCTTTAACTGTTGATTATTTTAATTTTTATGGAATTAGTCTCATTACTTATTTGTGGGACCTTGTATAAACAATGTGGCTCAGTGTACAGTTACTGAATCATTAGTCTAAATGCTGTGACCCACAGAAGCTGAGCTTTCGTTTTTGCTAGCCTGGACTATGTCACAGTAGAGAAACAGCAACAGAGGATACGATAACCAAGGGAGACAAACGGTGCACAGGCTGTTTATACCGGGGGGATACCACGACAATGATCCATCTAAAAACTAGCACGTAGAAGCTAACCGATAAACAGCTGATAATATTATAAAGGTTAAAGAGCAATGAAGGAGATCCGATACATACATACTGCCCCCGAAATGTCAGCGCTAGGATCATTATTAGAGTGTGTTTACAAATTTGTGCCGATGCTTTAAAAAAATTAAATCTCAGATGTAGTGCAATATAATATAAATTAATGCAATTATACGTTAATATTAATTAACTTCATTCTCGTCGTTATGTCACCTTTTTTGGGGGACCGCATTACAAGTAACTGGAATGCATTTTGCTTATTCGAGGTATATAAATAGACGAAGATCCTTACTGTATTGTCTGTTAGTTGTACAGCACAAGGCTCAAATATAACCGATCTATCAAAAACGTCATAGTTGTTGTGTTTTACGTCAATTCTGAATAAAACCATAACAGGTGCGCTGAAACTGTCACAACGTGCTATAAATTGAGTGTGCTGGATGTTTCTAAGTTTCGTCACAAGTTGTGAAGGCGTAGCTTATATGTTATGGTTGGGACAATTCACGTCTGTACTGTAAAATTTGCTTTGCTACACTAAAATTATACAAGTGACGAAAACAACAAAGAAAACATCTGTTTCGATTATCTGATTAGTC